AGGACCTACCTACCGCTGAGCGAACGAATTCTCATGCTGCGAGATCAGACAGTTTCTACAAAGTGAAACCAACTGTTGAATCAGGTCAGTACAGTCGGCCAAAACTCCAAGAATATACACAAAAATTATAATCTGGCATATTAAAGTATTAGAAAACACCTTTATTTTGTTGAAATGACGTTTAAAAGTAACAAAAATATGTTTCTTGCATGTAAATTGTGCCAGACCTTTGAGTAGTCATCAACATGAAACTTTTTATAACTGAATTCCCTACTTCCTGTCATTTTCAACATATTTTTCAACTTTTCTTTACAAACTGCTTCTTGATTAGAGTAAAACTATAATTTATATTAGGATTTATATCTTTAAGGTGCACTGTGTAACTTTTCTACTTTTCAACTTATGTCATTAAACAAATATATCTTGTATTTATTCAACGACGGATGTTTTTACTCCTCAAAACTACCTCAAAAACATGCATTGTTGCGCAGATCTGACCTGTAATTTGGCTTGGTGATGTGGCCTGCTTGTCTCCATGGAGATAATTATGCTGTGGAACATTCCAGGAAAACAAAAATAACATTTACGTGGAGTCAAGCAGGTGGCGGACCCTCGGGCAAAAAAGTTACTCAATGCACCTTTAAGTAGAAATGAGAGAATTGGCAAAGCCTGTCAAATATGCACCAAAAAAGCCGTTGGTTCTCTTTATGAATGGATCAGCAGCAGTGTTATTGAGCGAGTGACATAAACCTTGACTCGACTCTAAAAATAGATGGCTCTATAATCTACAATACCGGTGTTTTGATGACATTTTCGTGGCGTCTGGGAGGGTGTCTTTGCCGGGGCGGTAGGCTGACTCACACAGGACGCACTTGATATGACATACTTTGATCTCGTCCCATTCTCGGGCTTCACTCTTTTGCTATTCCCTCAGTGGACTTGTGCATATGTCGACCTACATCCACCCTGAAAAGACAGAATGAAGATCCGTGAAATGAAATGCCAAATATAAGACTGGTGTGACATCGCGGAGGAGAGGAAAAAGTAAATTAAAAAAGAATGATAGCCGGGGAAACGGAAGAAAAACAATAAAAAGGCCAAAACAAAGTCAGGTCTATGTGTTCCTACAGATTTGTGATCTCATATATGTTGGGTTTTAGGGTTATGGTTAGGATTAGGGCTTGGTTTTTAGATTATAATTAAAGAGCCCATATTTCTTATTTATTTTTTTTTATCTGTTATGTAGGGGATGTAACGGTACACAATGGTTTGGTACTTACCTCAGTTTTGAGGTCACGGTTTGGTTCATTTTCGGTGCAGTATGGGAACAAAATGCAAAACTATTTGCTTATTGTTTATTTGTGTGTTTATTAAACCAAGCAATTTGTTTTATTTAAACTGGAAAATAAAATAAATGCAAAGTGCTGGTTGGTAATACTACTAAGTTAAATAAAGTATTCTCAAAAAAGTAGCACATGTATAATATATATATTTTTTTTAAAATAAATTCCTTGTAAACAGTAAATAAAACTCAAAAATTAAAATACAGCACTAACAGTTCCAGGATGAAGTTTTACTCAGTCTTTATATTTCTGGCAAAAGTGAAAGTGAGGAACAGGGCGTGATGACCATAGTTTTGTGAAGATTCATGTTATTCAGAGGGTCGTAGTCAAGGTGGGGGGCAATTGTTGTCAAGGTGGCCACCCTAACTATAAAGTGCCGCAGGAAACACTGCCACCCCAATCACAAATGAGTTTCCTTTTAAATATTAAAGAGCCAAGCCTTCTTGCCTTCTGTGTAGCTGCACATGTAGTGAAGGAATGTAAACACACACAAATTGCACAAATTCACTCATGCGCTGCGCTGCACCAAACAGAAAGTTCTGTACCGAAACGGTTCCGTACTGTTACACCCCTAATGTTATAAAGTTTCCTCATGAAAAACATACCTGGGGTTGTGTTTTATCCCATTCACTATTTTGGCTGAGTTCTTCTCTCAAACAGAAAACACTCTGTTTCACCTTATGATGTCCTGCGGTAATACAAGTGCTCCACTGTGTCTTTAAACTCCATACACCTTCACTAGAATCATTTGGAGGATTTCAGCTCTGGAATTGGCAGTCTTTACTGAACTAAAGGTAAAAAGTAGCTGTTGACTTGAAAACTACAATTACAAGACACACAAGGTGGTTCAGAGCATTTTGGAGCTTTGGAGATCTAGACAGACCACTAATAAAGGATTACTCAAGCAAGTGTGAATGAAACAAAACATTATTAACATATTACAACACATATTAACAAAACAAATTATAGCATGGCTTAAAGCTCAAAAGCTTATTTTAAAAGACATGCAACAGCCACTAAACCCAGAGTTTCAGCTGCTTCTCTCTGGTCAGAGGCTTTTAGTCCCAAGATTGAGAATAAATCATTTTAAAAGGAACTTCATTCCACCTGCTATCATACTTATGAATAAATTGTAATCCATTTATTTATCAATTTTAGTACGGTGTCTTGGAAAAATTGTGTGGGTTTTTTAATCTAATATTTATTGTGATCTTTTCTATGGAACAAAGCCTGGAGCGCTGTAACACTTTATTTTGTAATTGTGTTTTTATACGTGTTTATTGTAGATAATGTGGATGAATAAAATGTGAAATGTGGAACCAGCCGCTCAAATCTGCAAAACAAATTTACCTTGAGGTATAAATAAAGCAGCCTAACCTAACAAGAGTCAATTTTGTGTGATATATGACCTTTAAAATTTAAAACCAACTGACTGATTTGTTTATAATATTTGATCTGTCTTGTTTATTTGAGACAAGTTTCTCGAGTCGAATGCTTGGTTAACCTAGGTAAACTCAAAACAGTTCTTTACAGTTTGGCTTACATTCTTTGTTACTTGTCGGTTCACCTTTTCACACTGCACATTGTTGAGCTAACACCCGTGAGGTATTGTACTAGTGCAGGCGGCGTTACAGATCTGTCACGTTCAGATCTATCATCAAATGGGTGACTTTTTGCCCAAATCCTAATTGGCGTCAAGCAAAAATAGACCTTCTTTGTGCCTGGATGGTGTGGCAGAGAGCTGGAGGCTGACACACATGTGGAAAAGTGACTGAATGATTACATTTATGTAACTCACTCATACCACAGCTAATCATTTGCCATATCTAAAGCTACAAGGAAGTCTTTGACACAAATCTTTCAGTCACTGTAATCAACTACCGCAGCATTGATAGAAATATAGAGGGACTTTTTCAGAAAATACCAGAGCATGCTCTTACTGGAAGCTAGATTTAAACTGGGTTGTCAATTTTCCTATGAAAGAATGAGGTAAAAATAATTTTCATAGCACATTGCAGCTAAGTACTGCATCAGTTTAAGAGTAGAGCCCTGCACCCGACGCAAAACAGTGAGGCGTGGGACACATTCTGAAAGCTCATTGCGGGTGTGGGCAGGAGCAGGACTGCACAAAGCGGGATCGAGCAGGTGGGATGATAAACTGCAGTCCTGCAAACTAAATATGAGTGTAAAGTAAAATATACAAATGATGAATGTGTAATGTTTTCCTATCATGCATAATTTGTGCTGGATATTTTATTTGGTCTTAATAAAAACATTTTAAGCAGCCTAAACTTGAGTATGTGGTCTAATCTCACCCACATTTTAGACAATTCCTTTCCGCTTTTGCAGGCGGGAACGGGACAAAATTTTACAGATGCTATAGTTACAATTACAATTCTTTGCCAGCGTGGGCGGGATTGCACAATGCAGGTGCTGGCAAGAGAGGGACTGAAAATTCTGTCTTGCGCAGACCTCTATTTCAGAGTAGGCAGACATGGAAAAGGACTAGCAGCTAAAAAGTATTTGTAGAAAAAGGAGTTTAAAAGTAGACATACAGTGCAGGCTAGTTGGCTAGTTATTCTATAATAGATTTTGTTATGACTGTCAGATTTTTTCTTGTGTGCTCAGATTACCATTGGCTCTTCATACTAAAACAAAAAAATACATAAATATAAATAAACATATTAGTGTAAAACAGATTTAACAATCTGTTCACTCTTATGACCCTCAGTCTATGACCATCCATTTTCTTCTGTTTATGTGGGGCTGGGTCACGGTGGCTGTAGTTTGAGCACCCTCACCCCAGACACTTCCTCCAGCTTGTCCTGGAGACGCCAGGACATTCCCAGGCCAATGTAGACATAGTTCCTCCAGTGTGTCCTGCGTCCTCTTCCCTGTAGGACATGAACCTCCATAGGAAGGGGTCCAGGAGGCATCAGAAACACATGTCCAAGCCTCAAATGTCCAATGCTCCTCTCAACACAGATGAGCAGTGGCTCTACTCCGAGCTCTTTCTGTGTGACTGATCTTTAAGGAAGTGCTCAAGCACCTGTGGAGGAAACTCAAGAATATTTCAGCCAGTTATTTATTTGTTTATTTTTTAATTACAGTTTAATTGTAGAAGTACACAATCTTTAAACAATTATAAACACACAAACATAAAGTAAGAACTTAACTGCCCTTCACATCTGAAATCTAACTTCTATCACATGCTCACAGCTATAAACAAAACAAATTCCTCGGTAGCGCTCACACAATGCCATTAGTCACTTTTTGTTAATGTGTACCAGCCACCATGCCCCATGCCAGCTCTTTTCACACATCATGCATTTCCTGCTATCCACTGGCAAACATGTGTGGTTTCTTCTTACATAAACTGTCAACACTAGAAAACAAATATTGCTAAATGTCCAGAAGGAAGAATACTTTCAGTTGCTCAATGAGCACATGGTATTTTCCTCTGAATAGGAATTTGAGATCTGACATTACCAGTCAGGTGTGAAACGTGTGGTGAGAGGGGGCGGGGCAAAGGCCTGTGTGGGTGCACAAAAATTTACCTATGCTTAATATGGCTTCCAATTGGAGGAGAATAAGGAAGTTTAGAATAAAACGCTATTGTGAGTGGGGCAGCACCTACTTGTGTTGTGTGTATGCTTTCGTCTGCTCATTCAAACCATCAGGGAAGTCCAGAGGAGCACTGTAAACACCTGTTCACGGCACGCTGTTGGGAAGTGCCTGTGTCCTCATTACAGCCCTGGTGGGATCTCATTCAACTGCTCTGGTAAGCTGCCATGATGCACACACTAGACAAGCCAAATAGAGGTGAGAAAACTTGAGCAATACTGGGACAAGGAAAGGAAATATTTGAGCTTGTTTTGTTTAGTTGCTTTTGTAAATTTGATTAGATCAGATTGTGGCACTATTTTAATATGAAGCGTCAAAGTTAATGTTTGAAATGCTCATGTTTGTAATCAGATTATATTACACAAAACTGACTCTTGTGAACTTTGAGACATGTTATAATGCTGTTACCTCCTCAAAAACATAGCTGGAGTTGTGTTTTGTTTCATTCGCACAGTCAAAAAGTAATCCTTTATTATTAGTCTGCTACATCTCCAAAGCTCCAAAAGTTTTAGAGAAGAACTCAGACTAAAAATGCAGAGTTTGTGTGTTAAATGTGTGAATGAAACAAAACACAACTCCAGCTATTTTTGTGATGAGCATTTTGATTATAACATAGATCAGAAAACAGTCTAACATGGCCCATTAAACATGTAACCACAAAAAACTTCTCATATTGTATTGTGTTGTTTATGTAATTATTACTGGAAATCATGCTTTTAATCACATCAAGACATGAAGTCTTGTTGACCTAATGATAATTTTGAGTATTGTCAGAGTAAAAAAATTAACTTGTGAAGAAAACCTTAAAAACATTGTTGGTACCACTTTACTGTAATTAGCCTTACTAAAGCATGAACAAAGACTTGATTGATCCATTATTTATTTATGTATTTATTTTGGGTAAGATTTTACATTCTTATACAATGGAACATGTAATATTGGTGAAATTATACCCATAACAAAATGTTTAAAAAAGGAGCCCAAAAAGGAGTGGAAAGAAGAAAACGTATTTAAACCCACCCCTCCCTACCATAGACATGAAACGTCAACATTGTCGGATCTGCACCAAATTTGGGAATTAAATTCTATGCATGATTACGAGTAAAAAAGTATATTATGAACATGGGGAGATTTTTAATGTTGGCCAGCAGGAGCACAAAGACTCCCCCTAAAAATATAAAAAATATATTTTACACGCACATGCTTAGGCCAGTCGTGCTGAAATTTGAATCACTCATGCATGATCTCAGCCTGAATATAATACACTATAAAACAAATGAAAAATGAACACTATAGCGCCCCCTAGCATTGACATGAAACGTCAACATTATCGGATTTGTACCAAATTTGGGAATTACATTCTATGAACAACTACAAGCAAAAACATATATTACTGATATGGGACTTTTTCATGGTTGGCCAGCAGGGGACGCAAAGACTCCTAAAAAAAAATACATTTAAAGGTGCACTATGTAGTTTTTCAGGTGGAGGATGTCTTGGTGCACAAGTTAGAAAAATGGCAGGATTAGGTTAGGAGTTATGGTTAGGGTAATGGTTCGGGTTTCGGTTCGGGCTATGGTTACACTTATGAATACGGTTAGGTTTAAAGTTAGGGTTACATTTAGGGTTAGGCCTAGCATTAGGGTTGAGGCTATCAGTTAGACCTCTGGTTGGGATTTAGGGTTACTAGGGTTAGTGTGGGGCACGGCCTTTGCAGGGCGCGGCGTTCACGTGTGTGCGTGGGCGAGGGCCGTTTGATGCCGTTTGCGGCTTTAATTTAACATTTCTTTTTCATTTAATTTCAGACATTAGACATTAAATTTGGAATTATTCTTTCTGGCTTTACTGAATAAAGAGTAAAAGTTAGCTGCTAACTACCACTAAATGACATCACAAGGTGGAACAGAGCATTTTGAGCTTTGGAGAAATGACAGTTTGGAGACTAATAATTAAGGGGTTACTCAAACACGATTTCACGTGTGAATGAAACAAAACACAACTCCAGGTAACAAGGCATAAAGCTGACAAGAATCAGTTTTTGCGCAATAAATTACCCTTAAGTCTTTGTTCATGCTTTATTAAGTCTAATTAAAATGCACTTACGATTAAGCATTACTAGATAATTTTACTCAAGTGCTATGAGACAAGATACTGGCAGTTTAGGATTACCGCATTTCCCAAGTCATATGCCAAAGAATGATTTTATTAACTACAGCATACGGGCTATTGATCCATGAGTATATTTATGGCAATCTCTCCCCAGCTCTCTGCTTCTTTTCCCTCTGACTTGTAGCAGATGATACCTGCTTAAGCTGTGGCGTACCACGGTGAGGGTTAGCACGCATACAACGTCAAGCATTTGAGCACACTTGGCAGGCTGTCAAAGCAGAGACTGGATCTTCCGTGGAATTATGGCATGTGGCACGTATCTCTTGGGAAATCTCATTGAGAGATTTCGACTTAGCCTGTTTGAGGAGAGATTTGCAGGATCTTTAGCGCCGATCTGTTGTCAGTGTATGTCACACAGATGTTTAAGCATGGATAAGTAACATAAATGTGTCAAAGGATTTGCATAATGTTGATGTGTATGAGGCGCTATTAAGCTATTACCTGGAGAGCCCAATGAATAGATGATGTGTTGTTTATTGAACTTTTATAGATCACATTTGTAACTGCTGGATAAAAGATTTGAAATTATGATGGATAGACAAACTATGACTATATTAGAGTGATATTTATTAAGTAGATTGAATACTTCCTCCTACTGCAACCACTGGGATCCCTTTATTTACATGTGATGCAAATGTAAAGGCACTTGTGATCGATGTTAGCTGTTTACTGTCCTGGAAAGCTGGTCATAATGCATGTGGGAGCTGGTGTGCATAAAACAAGTGAAGAAAATATCAGATGGCTTTAACAAATGCAACAGCTGCTGGTGCCATTTCTAATGGTACAAAACATGTTAATGGCTGATGTTATGCAGCGTCTGGTATTTATTCTCTCATGACCCCAGGATCTCATTTATGAAACTTTATGTAGAAGTCTTACTAAAAGTGTACTGACAAAACATGAACTTAAACATACTTGATGTAGATTGCCTTCTGTCTCATATATGAAAGTAGCCTGATTTATCAGTCAGCTTCCACAAAGTGAGAAAAAAAAGTCTGACCTTGCAGCATTAGGATTCATTCACTTGCAGTAGGTGGGTAAACTTTTAATTTAACCAATCACTGCTATTTGGTTGTGACGTATGTAATGTGCCAAATCCTGTAGGAAAAAGGGCAATAACATCTTTCCCCTTGATTAAATTCACCAAACATTTTCTTTGTTTTGACTTTAAATCCTCGATCTCAGGAATCGTTGCCAACACAGAATGTATAGCTTCATCTACATCCATCTCGACCGTTTTGTTTACTGTTGTGCTGTACCACAAAAGGGACCCAGACAGGCACTTGAGTTTGTCATCATGGCTTCACAGCTCTTCGATAATTGGCCAGTGCACGGTCTACAACTTCCAGGGTTCTTGCATACCGTCTAGTGTATTCCGATTCCTGACCTACTCACTGGAGAGAAATGAAATTGAGCAGAGGCGCTAGGAGGTGCCAGCCTGGCTAATCTGAAAGCCCTAATGCACAAAATGCTCATGTCGTCTTTATATAGATCACAAACTTAACACGGAAAGTCGCAGGTAACATTTTTGTACTTAAACATGCTTTATAAATGAGACCACAGCTCTTATGTTTCAGTTCTATAGTGAATCACAATAGACAAGAAATCAAATGGGATCCTAGACAGAAAGTAATGGAACGATAAGCAGTATTTTCACAATGTGACAAAGTCAACATAGGACTGTTTTGGCCTTATTCCAGTCATTGTCCTTAAACTATGCACTTTGTCCTTTCACTCTCTTTCCTGTGTTAAAAACACTGACAAAAAGGACTGTTGCAAAAATAATGATTTGTTATTTACATATCCATGAATTTATTTATTTATTTTTTGGTTTTTTTTTTTTTTTTCACTAACCAGTTTTAGCTTTAACCTGCCACACTAAAATCATTGTAAAGCCTAGAAAATATGCGTTTTGTGTTTGCTAATGTATTCAGTGGTGGTGTATTCCTTGCCTTACAGCTTCTGGGCTATGAAACATCAGAGTTCAAACAACACAATGAGCATAATGTCCAGCAGCCCCCTGGAGAGCCACCTGCCCCCCTCCTGGGACCCCTCCAACCTCTACCCCGACAGTACGTTTCTCATTACGGGTTCATGTACGCATAGGACATAAAGACATACTTCATTTATGCATTATTCAAACATTTAAATATTTATTGAGTCTTCAGTGAAATATAAATAAATAAATACATAAACGCTATGGGAAAAATAGTATATAAAGATCCAGAGGGAGATCCTGATCGCGCTCTATTGAACAATCAAGCTGTGTCATGAATGCACAATGACAAATAAGTAATTAATGAGCGTTGTTCACCTCCTGTGACCTGAGATCTGTAACAGAAATATGAAACTAGTCAATCAGAAAATAAATATGCAAATGGCTTAATTACAGCTGGAATTATGATTAACCCATTTCACCTTTCTTAATCGAACTTTGTTAATGTTATACAATTTATCACGGAAGTTATAGCATGAAAAATCAAAAGCATTCTTGCTGTAAACATTAATTTCCATTTTTGCGATTATAGTTAGCAGCAATTACATGTTTAAATAATAAGAGAAAAGATAATAGCTTTCCCCAAGAAAAATATACAGTTTATGTTTGGCACTTGCAACTTTATGCAGTGGTTGAATCTGATGTAACCTCTGGCATATAGTTTCAGTGAAAGTCTGTGCAAATCGGTTTATTTTTCTCAAAGTTCATGGAGTCTGTTCACTCTGATTTCAGTCCACACAGTAATATTTGGATACTCTGGTCAGCTGTTGCCACATGAATCCCAGCCTCAGTTCTGGAGTAAGTTCCAGGTGTGGGACTGGCTGCAGCAGATCATGGACGTGCACCAGATCGACGCCTCCTCCTTCCCCCTGCAGAACTTTGACATGGACGGTCATCAGCTCTGCAGCCTCAGCTACCAGGATTTCCTCTTAGCAGCCGGCAGCGTGGGACCCATCCTCTACCACAGCCTCTCAGCGCTCAGGTGGAACGGTGTGTTTTAAAGACATTTTATTCTATTCTGGACTTTTTTGGCTTTTAAACTGAAATTTTTTTAACATAAAGATATGCCCTGATTAGTTTTGGTTTCATGCACAAATGCTTAAATACTCCAACTTTCTGATGGCTTTTTCACAGTACTACAGTTTTGGTGGCTTAAAGAAATGCTGACCTTATTTGACTGCACTATACTTGAATAAAACTATACTGAATAGAAAAGCTAAAGAATATTCGTAATTTAATGACGAAATACTATTGTCATTTGTTATAGTAGCAAGACTGTGTTCAATAGGAATATAATGGGATCATTAACAAAGATTTACACTCCTTACTCAGAACTTGTCAGGCAATACTGAGAAAAAGGGCTTTAGTCTTCACATTTTAACCTCTGTTATAGTCTTACTCATAATAGTCATGGCCAGAAGTGGGAGCCATCAGACATCAAATCCAATACCTAAGCAAAATAGAGAATGTTGCAAATACTTTCTCTATATAAAAAGGTAGTTTTAGTTAGTTAAATGAAATGTGGAAAAAATAAAACAGAACAAAGTACAAAGTGAGGAGCTGGCTGAGGTATTAGCTGCAGTAGAGGTGAAGAAAGAGGATTTTTCTCGGGTAGAAGAGAGATTCCAAAAGAATTGTCTTGATGAAGTGTTGCTTAGGAGGAGTTGGCGAGCCGGTCAGGGGTCGCGCCGCTGTAGAGGGCCAAAACTCCACTGTAAGCAGCAGAGATGATGGATCTGTTGTTTGCACTTGGAGAAAACAGCTCTTGTAACAAAGCACACAGGGAGTTGGAAGCTAAGACTCTAGCTTAGAGCTGGCTTATCCACTGCTGGTAATTAAGGCTGACTGAATGATTTGAGTTTTAAGGGGTACAAAAACTCCCAAGGAGATGAAGGGGGAAAAAAAGAAAAATAACCTAATGCCAAAAGTTTCCAGACATTTTCATAAGTATAATGTGCAACATGACACGGCATTCATTCAGTCAAACTATGTCTCAAAGATTCAATGAACACATTGTTACTGCATATTGCTACATAAATGACTAACAAAAGGGTGTCATTGGTATAATCCAAAAAGTGTAGGAGCTGAAGAACAGAAAGTCAAGTTTGAATACAGCTAAAAACAATGGCTGCTCCAATAAAAACAAATTTAAAAGTCCTATATGACACAAAAAGCTGTTTATGTTTATAATGTTGTTACCTCCTCAAAAACATACTTGGAGTTGTGTTTTGTTCACACATGTTTGGGTAAATCTGGTTTATTAGATTGTCTACATCTCCAAATATCAAAATGCTCTATTCCACCTTGTGATGTCATGAAGCGGTAGTTTTCAAGTAACCAGCTACCTTTTAACTTCTGTTCAGTAAAGACAGGCAAATCTAGGGTTCAAAATCATCCAAATGATTCTGCTGAAGGTGTATGGAGTTTAAAAACACAGTGGAGCACTTCTTATATTACCACATGACATCACAATGTAGAGCAGTGTTTTCTGATTCAGAGAAGAGCTCAACTAAACGAAACAAAACACAACTCCAGGTATGTTTGTGATGAAGAAACAACATTATAACATACATCAAAAAATAGGGTAATATGGGCCTTTAATGCTTGAAAGTTTGCATGAAACAAAACTTAATTGCAGGCAAGTTTTTGAATAGTAAAGAGACTAATAAATCTGTTAGATTTTGGAATCATTTTTGTTCTGTATTTTTCCACAGGCCAAAATCAAACGGACATAGGAGCACTTGATATCAAACAAGAAGGCAAGGATCATTACACATACAGAGCACTGTTTGAATGTTTGAATAACTAACCTGTTTTTCTAATTTACAGCTGACACATACTCGTTTATCAATCCCATCTATCCCCCCGCAGGTACGCACATTAAAACATAAAAAGGTCTCTCTATCGATACTGAAATCCCACGTAGTATTAACTGCTTGTCTGTTTATCTGTTTGATAGAAACATGTGAAACTTCTTTGCACCCCATCCCACCTGTACCTTCCCACACGCCCACCAGCCCAGGTGAGACGTGACTCAGGCACTGAATCATTACATTTTATTAGCTTTATTCATCATCAACTGACTTGAGGTAACACTTTCACTTTTAACAGAACTTAAAAGATGTAGTCGCCCCTGCCAAACCAAGAGGCAAAGTGAGTATCAAAGGTCATATGTGTTTTTGATGTTGCAACGTATCATATTTTAGATGACATATTAATCGTTTTCCATGGTATTTCGTATGAAACCATAATTCAAGTCAAGTCGAACAACTGCAGCTGCTCAAAGACAATATAAAGTGCAATTTAATACATACAAAACACAATAAAACAATAAAATGGCTCATGTTCAGCTTGTGTTAAAAGCCAGTGCAAACAAATGAGTTTTCAAGAAAGATTTAATATACATTGACCTTTATTTTTCATTTTATTCATTGCAAACTGTAATATTGATTCAAAATTTGTGCAATTTTGCTCACAACTTCAGGATTTACTATACCAAGTGGTAAATTTTGTAGAAATATTGCTATGTGACATTCTTGAACCATACATATATAACCCAGAGTATGAATTTAAAGTATAGAGATGTGGGCGGAGAAAGGATTTACAAGAAAACAGCAATTTTCTGACAACTCTGAGTTAGTTAAACGTGGATTGCACAACTTTTCTGGTGTATCTGTCAAGCATTTCTTTATTACATCTTTTCTATTGTTCAAAAAATACAATACTTCCTTCTGAATAGAGGCGAGTCTGCACACATCTGTAACCTGTTAACTCGCAATAAACAGGTTTAATCGATACTGTGGAACCTTTACTCAATTTGACATATGTCCCTTTAACCTCTTCACAGACCCAAGAGGCATTCATCTTTGGGAGTTCATTCGGGACATCCTCATTCACCCGGAGCGTAACCCGGGCCTTATAAAGTGGGAGGACCGCACGCAGGGGGTCTTCAGGTTCCTCAAGTCTGAAGCAGTAGCTCAGCTCTGGGGCAAAAAGAAGAACAACAGCAACATGACTTATGAGAAATTAAGTCGGGCTATGAGGTAAGGCTGGATGTGTAGACCCTTTTGACCTCTCCTCTCTTATAAATATAGAAAACCCTTTGTAAAGATATAGCTGTATTATATTGTCAAATGGTGTAGACTTATATGATCACTGCATTGCCCAAAGTCATCCAAACTATTAAGCCTATTCAAATCTCATTGTGGTGAGCTTTAATTTCTCTATATTATCTTTCTATCTATCTTAATTCTGCAGACATAGCACGCATAACAGCTGGACTAAGTGGTAGAAAATATAAGTCCTTTTGATTCACTGTGTAACGTTTCTGGTGGATGGATTCGCCACCTGCTTGGCTCCATGGAGATGTAACGTAATTCCCTTTAGCTAGAATGTTATACAGTATGCAGATACACGTTACTGGTCAGATCTATGGAGAAGCAAGACTGCAAATAGTAAGAATTTGTAGCTTTCCCTAAGGACTCGACTGACTGGCACAGCAGGTATTTAGGATCACCAGAGAACTATGGACAGCAGAGTTTAGTTTAATAATTAGTTTAATAATCCAAAAGCTGTTTCAGTGTAAATTGGGAATCGACGTGTCCAGGGGTGAGGGAGTTGGTTAAAGAGTTTGTTAAAAAGTTTGTTAAGAAAGTTAGGCGGGCTAGCGTGGCTCCGTGGTGAGTAATCAACAGCCTGGCCTCAGCGTGCCCCAGTTTCACCCACGCAGCGGCCGACAAGTTTCAAGACTGCCCGGGAACCTTGAGATGGCCCACAGGGGTTTTAAACGACACCCACCTCCACTTTCCAGCTGCCAATACATGACTATTGGCCCACACCAAACAGGAAAACAATCACAAAGAGAAAAAACACACCCATTTAAAGTGGCAGAAGAACGATACTCTCTTAGCCCTGTTAGAAATCTATGTTTTTCAAGGTATTTTTGAACTATAAAACACCTGTAATTGAATACATAAGGTAAATAAGTTTAAAGCCATATTGTGGAACCTTCCATGCAGAGAAATAACATCTCCACCCTCCACAATAGAAGTTCCAAAGTGCACCTTTAATAAATGAATATGTGTATGTCTTTCAGATACTACTACAAAAGGGAAATCCTGGAGCGAGTTGACGGACGACGTTTGGTTTACAAGTTTGGGCGTAACGCAAGAGGATGGAGAGAAGTGGAAAAGTGACTGTTTCAGAGTGTAATTTATATCGTGTTGTGTTTTTTAGAGTTTTAAGCTTGTTTTGATAATGCGTACTTTAAACTGTTTACACGCGTTTGCTTTAATGTTACTCCTCTTTGAATGTTATTTGTGATGTGACATTGCACTGAAAAATCCTCATAATGCACCCTGAAGAGTCTGTAAACCTGTTTACAAGAGACGCTTTTGTCATTATCAAAACAGTGTGTGTGTGTTTCTTTTAAGATGCTTCCCAGAGGAGAGTGCATTAGACTTGAATGTACTCGCTGTAAAGTGTCTATGCTGTGAAGTGTGCTGATAACTGCCACACATCATCATATCCAATGTATTTAATCCAATCACATGGCAACTGCTCTCTATCAATATTTAAAGACTTGGATGCATGCCTTTCTAAGGAATATGCACCCATTCTCTCTCTAACAGTTAACAATCACACAGTTAAGTTGGTTGAAGTGTCTTGCCTAAGGATAAATATCAACTTGCCAAATCTGAAACTGAACCACCAACCTCTTATCTGAGTGAATAGACAAAGAATTGGAAGTTTTGTGATACTTTTTACGACCACAAAACCTGCAAAACCCCCAAATATGACAAGTAAAACTTATTTAAATTGCAGATCTCTTTGTTGTTGCGTGTTCTGACTGTAAAATAGAAATACCAAATGTAAATAGTTTTGATGTGTGAAATAATAAAGTTTTTTGTAAATATCCACTGATCCCGCTTGATTTCATTGTCCTTTCTGCGTAGACTCGTTTGGGCTTTTGCTGGGACTTTCATAGTTAATTATTTTCCATGGAATACCATAAACTCCACACTGGCCGAAACAGCACCTAAGCTGTTTAACAAGTCAAGTATGTTTGCAGTTACATTACTGGTAGTCCGTGGTTATCAACTCACTGAGGAATGTGGATGAGGAACAATTATTGCCAAACTATGATATGCAGGTGCCATTTGACCATTTTTGCATTGTTCAGAAAAATGTCTCTATAGTGCTGTGTCCACAAAAAAATATGAGCCTGACCATCTCTATGACAAAACTCACAACTAGTAATTTGTTTTGGTGTTGTGGTATAACATAAAACAATGATTAATCGAAGTAAAATATAAACTATGATCAAATAAAAGCAAAATAATGTGTCAAAATCTTCTTGAAATCTTCTTCAATTACTTTAGATCAATACTAACAATAGACTCGATTACCTTTTTTAAATATTATATAACTTGCAAAATGCTTTGTCATATCCCCTACAACATTTTTACACTGTGTAATTAAAGTCTCATTCCAAACAGGTTTACCAAGTGACAGTTTACACTGAGTAAAATCAACACTGTTTGAGAAGTGCAAACAAGGACAATGCAGCCGGTGATGAACTCATGACCTATTATATTGGGGCACCAGTGCATTCATGTGGGCAAAGATAGTCCTAGTTTGAGAAGTAGACATGCTGGAACAGGATGATCCTCTGCAGTTTTAAAAAATAAAATGTATCTTATGCTACTGAAATATAATAAATATAGAGAATACTTAATGATGTTGAATACTTATAACATTTGGGAGTACCATCAGTGTGCATAAAAGCAGAACCTGTCTCTGGGCTGAGCTGTGATTAAAAGGGGCCTTCAATTACTCACACTGATTAAAAAAAAAAAAAAAAAAAAAAAAAAAAAAAAAACACTGATTAAATGCAGAGATTGTATCTGATTGCAGGAGAATAATAGACACTGATTGGTGTACATTAGTATATTGTTCTAATTTATAAAACAAGTGGCCAGTGCAATTTCACTTAAAGTGTGTCAGTCATTTTCCACTCAGATGATTGTTATGCCTACATACTCAACAGCTATCAGATACAATCATGCAATGAACCATACCACGCTTTAAACATGCACTGTGTAACTTTTCTTGAACTTTACTTCAGTTCAGTTTAGAGTTCCCACTGCATTGTGCCAATAGAGCCAATAGTTTAAAATGAAGATGGAGTGCAGGTCAGAATTCCAGAGAAGGATTTGTTTTGTTCTATTTTGAACTCACTCACCTTGTCATTGACTAAAAATAAGACATCATTTAAATGATAAGGCAGGCTGTGGTTAGCCAGACTGGTGCCACCTAGTGCCTCTGCTCAATTTCATTTCTCTCCAGGGATTAGGTCAGAAATCGGAACAGAATACACGGTTTGCAAGAACCCCAGAAGTGCAAGTCTGGGCACCAGCCAATCAGCGAAGAGCCATACATTCTGTGTTGGCAACGATTCCCGAGATCGAGGATTTAAAGCCAGAACAAAGAGAATGTTTGGTGAATTTTATCAAGGGGAAAGACGTTATTACCCTTCTTCCTACAGGATTTGGGAAAAGCTTAATATACCAGTTAGCCCTGTAAGCGGCACATTACATACGTCATGACGAACGAACGAATTCTAATGCTGCGATTTCAGACGGTTTCCACGAAGTGAAACCTGCTGATAAATCAGGCTAGGTTGCGGACACATTCCCTGGCAAATAGTGAACAGTTTATTTATTTATTTATTTTTCAAAATGAATTATGGAGCAAAGTCTTCCGCATAGGCAGTAAGTAGGTCACAGGTTGCCCCAGCTCCACTGAAAACGGGTCAAATGCAGATCACACATTTATATACTCATCAATAAAGTGTACCTTAATTACTGAATCATTCGGAAAATTGTATTGAAACAGTTTTATGTAGTTTAACAGGTTTGTTTTTTGTTTATCAGTTGAACACACAAACCCAGCATAAGAAGGCTACACAGCGTGCTCGGATATGAAAAGCAACAAGGCAAAGCTTCATTTTCATTAATGCATCAGCACATAATGGGTCTGTGTTCGTGTCTGATTAGCGCAAACAGGAGCGGCCGGGACATGACCACCCGTGTGTGATGGAAACTAACAGTTAGGCAAATCGACACCACTAATCCCCTCACAAAGATAAGAACTGGTTTGATACACTGATGTAAACTCACCCTTTACACAGTTTGCTACCAGCTTGCCAATGTACCAACTGATTTCAAAAACCCCATGCACAAGTTAGGTTTCTTCCTCACTCTTTATTTGGTTAAAAGATTCTTCGATAAAATGCAGCGCGAGAAAGAGCTGATAATTAAATTTGGAAAGGTATCATTAAACCTGTTCTACCAGTAAGTCGGCAGTTCCAGTTAGTGGGAAAAATGGTTGGCACCAGTCGAGCTATCTGTCTGTTTGGGAAGAATGACGATGAATTTACTCCACATTGTCAAGACGTCGGTCTACCCCATGTCTACAGAGCAGCTGCAGGTGTCGGCTTAGTTCGTACACAAGTGATATTATTGTTCACGCTATGGCTGCGTTGAACATGTCATGAAGGGACCTTTGTTATGAAAAAAGAGGAGGTAATTTGATCAGATTGTGTTTGGCAGAACTGAAGCTAGAATCATTTCAAGGTTTAATGCACCATTGTTCAGATTCATATGTTTGTGAGCTTGCAAGTTTAAAATATTACAACACAATGATTTTGAAATACACTGGCATCTGGCTCAAGACACGGTAAAAAATAAATGATAAAACATACTACTTTTATGGCTACTTTGGTTTAATAAATTGTATGTTTATGTATAATTTTAAAGCCATTTTTAATTAGAACGAAGGAAAATATGCCCTGTATCAAAATCTCTACAGCATATACGTTCAGAAGGGCAAAAGGAAGTATTTTTAAAGCTATTCTGACACAAAAACATTTTGTCGTTGCCAGTTTCCTGCTGACAATCTTAGTTAGTTATTGCCAGTAACTTTTTGGACAATTATTTCCATTAGTACTTTGAAGGTCATTATAAAATGAGCCAGTCATTGTTACACTGCATGTTCATGTGACAAAACACACATGCACGCACACCCCCTCCTTCTCTTTCAACAGTAACAACGTAAGATATGAAGAGAACATGTAATATTCAAATTTTTACAAGGTCAATCCTATCATAGTGTGATAGAAATTAAATATTGAAAAGTAGATCTAATGTTAATATTGTGTCCAAACTACCAACATTTTGTCAAACGCACACAAACAACTCATCCACAAATAAATACTGCAGCTGTGAATTTTTTTTTTTTAAAAAAAAAAAAAAACATATATATACACATATACGCGTGTAAACATAATACCATCATTTCATTCATAACACACAGACAATATGAATTTATTATAATCTAAAGAACAATATTTAGAACTGAAGTGGTCTGTGGTCATTTTTTAGAGATATAGTTTGTAAATTCAAGCTAAATTAGAATTTGGAACAGTTCAAATTTATGCACACATTTAAAAAAAAAAGAAGAAGAAAAAAAAAGAAAAAAAAAACATCAACAAATACGAGATTTCAATAACTTGTATGTAGTTTTATTTTCCGTCCAGTAGAGGGAGGCAAAGATCCGACTGCAGATGCGACTTGAGGACCCTTTCTAGTACTGTCCACATTTCTGTTTTTGCTTGAACAACCTGACAATCACGCCCTGTCATGCACTGAAACTATTATTTTGAAGCAGATTTTTGCTGGTTTAATTTTCAGACATTTAGAGACAAAATCCTCTGATCTGTGAATAATCATGTGTAGATAATCCTCTTATGCGTCAGGCACGTGCGTGGGCACCTCACACCGGCGGAGGACGACAACATGGCGGCCTCCTTGCGCCTGGGTCGTCAGGGGATATTATTTGGGCTAAAATTAAACCAGTTTAATAAATGTGTCTGGGGTTTGCAGTCATGGCAGGAACGCGCAAGACATTTATTTCAGTCCGCCTATTGTCTTGGTAAGTCTTGTCATTGGGGGTTTTAAAAGCAGTGCTGTGTGTCTTTGCAGGCTGGCTGTCACTCTTCGTGATCTTGTATCATGATGCATCTTGATAATTTGATCTGTGCGATGGTGTGTGATATTTATAAACAACAACTCATAGTTTTGGTCAATCGTGATGAAATATGCAACGACAGAAGCAGACATGGGTCATCCAAAGACGTTTCTGAGACCAGATTTGTCAGATTGTCACCTTTAGGCCATTACAAGCTTTTCTAAATGTTGACAAAGCTATTAATGTTTCCTCAGTGGGGAAATTGGTGTCATATATCATTTAGGACCATAAATGTAAAAGGAAATAAACAGTAATAGCCCTGGCTTCACTGCTACATCTACAGGAGTGTCATAGTGTGTGTTTTTGCCATTTTGCTCATCAATCTATGGGAGAACTCTCACAATTTCTTCCATACCACAGGATAGTTTGTCTAGTTTGCAATATTATATAAGCGTAAACCGCATTTCTTTATTGTGTGATGCATTACTTAACTGAGTAATGGGGACTTTGAACCATTTTTGATAGTGTCCAGCAGATGGCAGCAACACACTGCAGCACCAAGAACTCAGATTAATGTTTTGGCACGACCTCTGTCCACTTCATGACCTAAAGTAAACTAAAATAATACCCAGAATTCGGTGCCTTTTTGTGATTTATGCAATTCTGCGCTCAAACACACACCTTTTTATCCACCCACTCCTCCTATTGGTCAGTCTTGATCATGCTGAAAGGGAGTGACGGCTGGATTTTAGTATTTGCAGTGAATTCTGAGCTCCCACGAGAAGCAGGTGGCTTTTGTAGGCTCTTTAACTGTATAATATGATTTGGGATAATATTTAAATCATCTAGACTTGTCTTATTTTTCAGTAAACAATGACAATCAAATCTGTAATTGCTAGAGATATAAGTTGTCTGTCTCTACTGGCTCTGAGCCCATTTTCCTGGTGACCTGTGACCTCCTGAGAAGCTACAGCTGCTTGTGTGATGTTGCCTTCAGGGACAGTACTAGCTCCAGCGCCTCTGTAAACTCTGGTGCTGGCAACATCAGTTACGTAACCGACTTGCCACGGTGGCTCATTCATTGGTTCTGTTTCTGCTCCTCCTGCAAAGTTTAATTTCTTATGCATCTTGGTTCGGAGTGTACTGCCAAAAACGTGGTGCTGTATAAAAATTTCACAACGTCTTTCTTTTGTCCTCAGATAACCCGGCTCCCTTTCTCATTATTTAATTCATACAGTTTCTGTTATGGGGAAAATGGCAGCAGTATAATGTGTATTTGTATATTTGAAGAGAGATTGGCAAATAAAGTGAACTGTTTGTTGTTGTTAACGCTTGTATTTGTCTTTCCAACCTGCAGGGGTCGCCCCACTCAAGGTGCAGATGCCCGCGCTGTCCCCAACGATGGAGGAGGGAAACATAGTCAAATGGCTGAAGAAAGAAGGTACAATTCACAGTGTTATTACTTAAAATGTCTCTTGTCAGCTATTAAGATGGCACTTGATTTGTACCTTGCAAACTCCGTTCACCTGTGTGTTTAAGTTTACCTAGTGTGTACTTCACTTGTATTCCTGTAAAATTAAATGATTAACATAACATAACACATTGCACCTTTTTTTTAAATGTATTTTATTTATACCAAAATCTCAAATATGGTCTAGAGACTAAATTTGTTCAGAGTTGGTCTTTATACAGACATTATATTCTATCAAATATTCCAGTCATAAAACGATATATACGGTCTATAACCTTACACGTGCTGGTGAATTGTTTCCTTTAGCTATGTTTATGCCTTAAACGCGCAGCAGCAGCTTCAGCAGGGGCAGTAATAGTTCCCTGGATGACATCAGTTGGCTGTGTAGGGCAGAGGGCTTGGAGCCGGGAGCACCCACTGGCCCCTTGGTGCTAATTGGCTCAAAGAAACCGCCACTGTCACTGTTCATCACTGCTTAGCAACTCCGCTCAGCCAGGCTCCTCTACCACACTCTCATTTATCATGAGGCAGCAAGTGGGATTCTGATTGGCCGCTGTGCCGTGTTGCCATGTGCCGCTGTGTCAGTGAAAACACCACCGCGAAGATGAATGGATGAATCAAACATTGCTCACTCACTCATGTAAACAAGTTTCTTCTAACCCCAGTGGTGTTTTCTTTTAGCTTAATCGGTTTTTGACTAAAGCATCTAATTTTCACAGTTTTGGGCGATTCTGTTGGTTATTTTTTGGATGAAAACATATGATTTTATAGCAAATATTTGTGGTTATACTCTACTTAGACCTGTCAGGATAACACATTTTGATGTACGATAGATTGTTCAAGAAAATACAGACAATAAATGATATTATTTTAAACAAATTTATGCAGATATAATAACACTAAAGCAGGATAATCCATATAAACTATTTTTAAATATACATAGCATCATTAAAATACATGAACAGCAAGAAATTAAATAGCAGAATTAACCAATATTTACTCTTAGATAGTTATTAACTCAACAGCTTTCATATACTTTTATAATAAGCAGCTACACCAGAATGAGTAAATTAGAAGAGTTGACGATAATAAATGATATTTTTTACATTTTTATTGGCATCCTTACTTTAATATAATATAGTAAACCATCTCCGTAATGCATGTCCATTGACTGTTACTCTGCTTTCCTTTATTTTTAAGTACAATATCCACCACATAGCCACATAACGCCTGTTACAGTGGCTTGTGGGGGCATCTATTTAATGTTCAATAGTACACAGGGCGGCTAACCCCTGGGGTCGTCCCGTGTTAATGCCTCATACAAATCCAATCTGGACTCCGCTACTCCATATTCTCTGGGGTCTCCAACATCAATACTCCCCTCACCCCTGCACATTCTGTTACATCCTCCTGTAACCTTTTCCACTCTTTTCATTTAAAGCAGTCCTCTTCTTCTGCCCAGGTACTTCTTCAGATGCTACACAATGCATTCAATTAAAAAAATATATAATGTGTGGTGTAGTGTTTGCCAGGAAATTATGGCTGCAAATAACAATTATTATAAGTATTTGACCTGTCAGGGATTTTTTTAGTCAACTAGCCAAACAAATAATTCCCTTGTACATTGACATTTTAAAACTGAATAATAGACTGTAGGAATCTAAATATATTTATGAGTAAAGTGTACTCATAAAATAGTCATTTTGATGTAATAATAACTTTTTACTTCTAATAAAACATCATTCAGTATGTGTTTTATAGTCTATATAGTCCAGAAAACAATGATCATAATCAGAGTAAATTTTATTCCTAGCGGGCAAAATTCACAAGCTAGGAACTTGCTTTATTATGGTGCAAAATAAAACAAACAATATAAAATAAAAATAAGGCCATGCATTAAAATAAGGTGAAAAATAAACTACATTATGGAGCTCAACAGTGACCAGAAAAGTTCCATTTATTTTTCCCTTAGACTTTTTGAAAAAAATTAAATACTAAGGGTCTAACCAACTACATGAGGCAATTTTAAGTCCAAAAACATTTACGTGCTTTAATAGCTTTGTGGTTTATAAAGTTTCAGAAACAAGTTTTAAATCAAATTATAGGTCTTGTGGCCATTAGTTACCACATAGCTGATTAGCCCTGAGAAAGGTTGCAAACTTTTGATATTAATTATTTCCTGAACTTCTATGGGAAATTCACTTCAGGAACCGCGGCTGAGGCGGTCGCTGTTGAAATCCATACAAAACAAAATATACAGTATGGGCAGAAGAACAAAAAACAAAAATAAATATTGATGCAAGTGGGTTAATTACAGCTGTTGTGACAGTGACTGGTACTATAAAGTGGCATGTTACAGTGAATATCGATGATAAACAATAATATCGAAACCAAACCATAAAGCAGAATTATTTTAAAAATTAATACAATTCTCATTAGTACAAAGAAAATGTACCCAGGATAAAAATTAGCCCCCAAAAATTAATATATTGAATAAGTCAATATATTATTTATTGTGACAGGCTGAGGTGTTGAGTGTGTTACAGTGTTTATGAATACAACGGCAGAGGGGGAAGAAATTGGTCCGATAATGAAATTCTAATTATCAAATGATGGTTCTCATTATTTTAACACTCAACTGGTCACACTTATTCCAGTTCATTTTTGCAGCTCTACAGAAAATGCCCAAAAGTGTCATTCGCCTGTTAGTCTTTATTGATCCTTGAGGAAAATGATTTGAAATATTTGAATTTGTTACAAGACAGTATTGATCTGGAACACGCATTTCCGTTACAAATGACCTTTGAAGCTGACATGGACACTCTTTCTTTGTATTTGTGGTTAATAACATCCTTTCGTCAATGCAGCGCTCCAGTCAAAGGTTGCTCAAACTACCCAAGCTTAAAACTAAAATAAGACCAGATGAAATAAGCCAGCACATGCTAATTGCCATCCTGTGAGAAAGAGGTAATATATTCTGTCTCTCCTGTGTTGGACCTTTGGGAATCTGTGGGTTAGAAGTAGGCAGAGATCCAAGCTCCTATCAGATACGCTACATTTCCATATCGCACATTCTTTCCCATGAAATCTTGATTAGGCATTTGATAAACAAGGCTCGAGTCAAAAGCTTCCTAAGTTTTCGTTTTGTCCCTAAATGACGTTAAATTTGTTCAGTGCCAGACAAGTTCAAGAAACCCTGGTGGATCTAATATATTGAGTTTGTGTGTGTGTGTTTTCTACTTTTGCAGGTGAAGCAGTAGCAGCAGGCGATGCCCTTTGTGAAATAGAAACAGATAAAGCGGTGGTTACCATGGAATCCAATGACGACGGCGTACTGGCGAAGATATTGGTGAGTGAACAAACAAGGGCCATGTTTGTTTTGTGCTTATGGTAGGGATATCTCTTCCTTTATTATTGTGTACACATGGTGGTGGTGGTTATTCAATGATTCACGTGGTCATGAAAATGATTTACAAAGGTTCATTTAATGACACGCAGTAAAACATGCACAGAATAGTACCTTTTGTAGTCGATTTCAAATAAACTGCTGCTGTTTCCTCTGTTCCCTCAAACAACTTCATTTAGTAATTGCTCTCCCACAGCAGAAACTCCATTTATAAAGATGATTTTATTTTATTTTTTTTTGTAAACAGTACTAAATTAAAGCAATTTTTGCTTCATTACGTTATACTTACTTGATGTGGGGTTTATGGTAATATTTAATTATTGAAAATAGGAGTACATCGATCCAGCTTTTTCAATTCCGATACTGATTCCACTACTATAACTTTAAGTATGTATCTATAGCAACTGCTGCCAGAACAGAGACGAACAGCATTTATTTATTTAAAAGAAGATTATCATAAGACAAAACTGTTCTGAAATGTGTTATGGAGCTGTTATTTTTTTTTTTTCCGCAAGTAACTACAGAACAACTAGCCTGATTCATCAGCCGGTTTCACTTCGTGGAAACTGTCTGACCTCGCAGCATTAGGATTTTTGTTTGCTCGACGGGAGGCGGGTACTTTTTTATTTAACCAATCGCTGCTATTTGGTTGTGACGTATGTAATGCGCCAAATCCCGTAGGAAGAAGTGCAATAACATCTTTCCCCTTGAGAAAAGTCACCAAATATACTCTTTGTTCCGGCTTTAAATCCTCGATCGTCAATCGGCTTCATCTACATCCATCTCGACCTCTTTGTTTACTGTTGTGCTGTACCACAAAAGGGACCCAGACAGGCACTTGAGTTTGACATCATGGCTTCACAGCTCTTCGCTGATTGGCCGGTGCATGGTCTTCAACTTCTGGGATTCTTGCAAACCGTCTACTGCAGGGGTCTCCAACCTGTAGCTCGGGAGCTACCGGTAGCTCTATAAGTAGCTTGTAACTGTCCCTTGCCATGGCTCGTATGTATACTTTATTTCTTGGATTGCTAAAATTAGTAGCTCTCTGGAATTTTAAATTTGTAAAGGTTGCTCACTGGAGGAAAAAGGCTGGAGACCCATGGTCTAGTGCACAGGTGTCAAACATAAGGCCCGGGGGCCAGATCCGGCCCTCCAAGACCTTTAATGTGGCCCTTGGGTGATTTTCTACTAAAATATTTTAATTATATTTTCTATTAAAATCTTGTTAATTTTCTGTGGTGTTTATCACAGCAGCGTCTCCAGTGTCTCTGTGCGTGGCCCCTCCCACCAGAGCAGCACAAATGAAGACTTGTCTCTTTCCAAACGCTCTTAAAGGACGATCGTTTTGACTGTTGACCGTGACACCCTCATCAGAAAAATGTCCAACATGAGAAAAGTGGAGCCAAGTGCAGGATTTTCGACTTATTCCTATTTACACACAAGTTCATGTTAAAACAATTGTGTTGAAATTGAATTTTTCTTAAAGTTCCAGGTTGTTCATAATATTATAATATTACAATAAGAAAGAATTCATCAATTAAAAAGATTTCTGTAATAGATTTGTGTTTCTCTGCACAAATATTTGAAATTATTGTTATTTTTGGGGTTTATGACATGAGTTTTCTGATCCGGCCCCTTTGGGATCAAAGTAGGTTGGATACGGCCCCCGGAACAAAATGAGTTTGACACGCCTGGTCTAGTGTATTCCGATCTCTGACCTATAGTCGCTGGAGAGGAAGGAGATTGAGCAGAGGCACTAGGTGGCGCCAGCCTGGCTACAGAATAACTTCCATCAGTGTAAATATCCAACCAGGATATTCGCTGAACCGATATTTGGAAGCCAATATCCGTTCCAGCAATTTTTTCAGGATCTGCTGATATTTGATACCAATATTATTGTATCGGTGCATTCCTGATTAAAATCTTAAATACAGCTCGTAATACCATATATTTTATCCTACTGTTCATATTAACACACTTCCATTATTCATTTTTATTCAATTGTTTTTGTTTTATTTTAGAGAATTATGTTCACAATCATGCCCACAAAAACAGCTGTAAAAATAAACCATACACAAGCCACATTTCCATAAGTTCTGCCTTTAGACTCCTTGCTCCTTGATTGTGTAACGCGGGCTGTCCCATTCCCTGCGCTAATTGGCTCTGCCTGTTTCATCTCCTCCCTGTGTAATGTGACAGCAGTGTCCAGCAGTGATTCCAGTCCTCACACTCCATCCCCCATTGTTCTGTTTGTGCTTTGAATTTTTAATGGCCTGTCAAAGAAACCACCATCCGTTACCTCTCATTTGGTCTGCACGTTCAAGTACCGAAAGGAAAGCAATAACATTCTTTCATCATTGTTTATTGATCTCAGGGAAATTCTCATCCACCATGTAAAGCCTGAGGAATGGTGCATTATTTACTCACATTTGTGGCAGCTGGGATTTGTTCTTGTCATGTGTTTAGCAGCAAATAATTTTAAAACTTAATGACTGGAATTTGTCAAATATTCCGGTCAGTAATGGGCCGGGAAATGAAGTTGGTAATGACAATATAATACTGTATCTAAAAATATCTGAAATTGTAAGACTGAAAAGGAAGATTAAACAAAGCATTTAACTTTTAATGGAAGATAGGAGTGGAATTTAATAATAAGTTTTCTTCTTCCAACTCCTTTTGGATCTTAAATTAATTAAAAATATATGTAAAACGTATGTTAAGTGTACCGGATATATGTATGCTTACTAAGTATGATAATTATTTGCTTGCAATTAGAGCTTTGTGTTGCATTTTTTTTTTTTTATCTTAAATGAATTTCAATATATATATAATGTATGTTAAATGTACTGGATATATGTATACTTACTACTTATGATAATTATTTGCTTGAAATTAGCACTTTGATAACGCTCTATAAATGAAGTTTGATTTGATTTGAAATGAATAAATAAAGATATGAAAAATAAAGATAGGGCCATGGTTTCCAATTACAAATATAAGGGTTATGTAAAACAATCTATCAAAAATGTGCTAAATTCACCTTAGAAAAAACTTAATACTTGTGGCCAATAGGAAGACGATAAACCAACAGATGTTCAGCTTTGAGTACAGGTCTGAGCTCGCTGGCACTATAGAAAACCATGTTATTTTAAATTAAGCCTGAATTAAAGCTACAGCTTAGTAATATTAATATTAGTTATCATTTAGTGTCATGCCCAAGAGCACAGTAGCAGTATGAATGTTTCTTGCAGACATCAAGCGTCAATGTTTGATATATTGTTGCTGTATTTAATTGACCAAAAATATATTTCAAAGAATCTATTCATAAAAATCATCAGTTATTTGTCTGGTTTTGTGCTGTTACTTATCTAATTTCCATCCCATTCCTCTCGTTTACATTCCCTTACTCCATACTGGTCTTGGCTACTACGAGCACGAGGCAGTTTCCATGACAACCGCCCAAGAACTGGGGGTAGGGTCTTCTGCGGCTGGAGCTTGGCAAAGAAAGATGGTCTGTATTAGATAAGCCCCCTGAGCGCTCTCCCCTTCTTATTCATGGAAAGCAGAGTTATTAAGAAAAAACAACATTTAGCTGGCTCGAGGACGGCGTTCTGACTAATACAGCGTCCACACTCTCGGGGTCAAAGTTCATTAGCTTATCAAAGCGTAGCACACCTTCCCAAACATGTTTTTAATTTTGAGATAATTACTTGCTTGTGGAGGGCCTACGGCAAAACGGGCATATACCGCGCTCTGTAGACATTATTTATGGGGGTCAACTGCCACAATGGCCCTCCTCCAATTTGAAAGCACCGCTCTCGGGGTGTTGGGCGGGCAGTGCGTATGGATTGTGCCTATATTGAGATGTTGACTTGGGGGGTTGAGACCCCAAAGAGCAGATTACTGTATCTCATCATAGCCTTACCGCTGTGCTCTGCCATGACCCTGTGGGCGCCAATCTGAAAATCTGCCCTAGATGTAATCAATCAAACCCCATATAGGAAAGTGCAAGCAAGGCATTCATAAACAGGTCTTTTCATTGGTTGGTTGAGCGTGGACGAAACTGAACCCACAAAAGAATGAAGAACATATATTTTTTAAACACTTCGGAGCGTGGTGGAATGGTATGTGAGTGAAACTAAACTGGAAATAACAAAGACATTAATCTTTTTGAGTTCACCTTCCTTCTTCACCTCTGCTGTTGATTTTAACAGCCATCTGTCTTTCTAATGGATGTGAGCTTGTATGGGAATTTGTAGTATGTTTAATTTTTCATAGTGTCTTCCCTGATGACATGTTAACGAGCTGAAACAAATGTTGTTTTTAATTATAATTACTTTGCATCATCCTGTAATGAGTGAATATGAACAAATGAACAGTGTTTTGCTCTCAAGCCAAAGTCACAAGGAGAATGAGCTTTGTGTTTTGTGTTGCCAAATCCTGTGACAAACAAACAAAAAGAACTATCGAGTATGTAATATGTCCTCAGGATTAGGGATGCACCATTCCATACCAATTTTTAGATACTACTATGACCTAGGGATGTAACAATAACCGAAGTATCGTGATATCGTTTCGTGAAAAGTCTCACAAAATATATCCAACAACATCATGGGCTCTCACAATCTATATCGAATTACAAGTTCCTTTGCTTAAATGCATGGTTTTATAGTAGCAACAGTTTATGAACACATGAAACTACTCAGGATTAGGGATGCACCGTTCCATCTTTTTCAGTTCTGATACCGATTTTTGATACTGATGTGACTTAGGAATGTAACAATAACCGAAATATCATGGTATCGTATAGTTAAAAGTCTCTCAATAATATATGGGCTCTCACAATATATCAAATTTCAAGTTGTTTTTTTTTTTGCTTAAATGCATGATTTTATAGTAGCAATAGTTTATGAACATCAGAAACTACATATCCCATGATTCAT